TACCCACATCGTGACCACATTGTACCCACATCGTGACCACATTGTACGCACATCGTGACCACATTGTACACACATCGGGACCACATTGTACACACATCGGGACCACATTGTACCCACATCGTGACCACACTGTACCCACATCGTGACCACATTGTACCCACATCGTGACCACATTGTACACACATCGGGACCACATTTGTACACACATCGGGACCACATTGTACCCACATCGGGACCACATTGTACACACATCGGGACCACATTGTACACACATCGTGACCACACTGTACCCACACCGTGACCACAATGTACACACATCGGGACCACATTGTACCCACATCGGGACCACATTGTACACACATCGGGACCACTTTGTACCCATATAGTGACAGCTTGTAAATGTAACCAAAGTGACTATTTTGAGAGAAAATTTGTAACTGAATTATTTGAACTTGATCAAAAATAAGACTGCAAGTTTCTGTTAAATCACAAAAATAAATTCAAAACCTCACAAATGCCATTTACGACACCATCTCCAATAGCCGACGCACATGATACTTACTTGTTTAAGATCAATTTTGAATCCGCGGTTAAGTTCCCATTGGCTCACCACCTGTGGGAGGGGCCAAAAGGGTCGGATGCAATGTGGGATGGGTGGTGGCCGAGGGCAGGGACCCTGGCGGTCTGATCCTCGGCTACAGAAGCTGGCTATTAGGACGTGGAATGTCACATCACTGGTGGGGAAGGAGCCTGAGCTGGTGTGTGAGGCTGAGAGGTTCCGGCTAGAAATAGTCGGACTCACCTCTATGCATGGCTCTGGCTCTGGAACCAGTTTCCTTGAGAGGGGTTGGACACTCTTCCACTCTGGAGTTGCCCCTGGTGAGAGGTGCCGAGCAGGAGTGGGCATACTTATTGCCTCCCATCTTGGTGTCTATACGTTGGGGTTCACCCTGGTGAACAAGAGGTTAGCCTCCCTCCACCTATGTGTGGGGGGACGGGTTCTGACTGTTGTTTGTGCTTATGCGCCAAACAGCAGCTCAGATTATCCACCCTTTTGGAGTTCTTGGAGGGGGTACTGAAGAGTGCGCCTCCTGGGGACTCCCTTGTCCTGCTGGGGGACTTCAACGCTCACGTGGGCAATGACAGTGAGACCTGGAGGGGTGTGGTTGGGAGGAATGGCGCCCCTGATCTGAACCCGAGTGGTGTTCTGTTGTTGGACTTCTGTGCTCGTCATGGATTGTCTATAACTAACACCATGTTCAAGCATAAGGGTGTCCATATGTGCTCTTGGCACCAGGACACCCTAGGCCGCAGTTCGATGATCGACTTTGTTGTCGTCTCATCTGATCTGCGGCCACATGTCTTGGACACTCAGGTGAAGAGAGGGGCGGAGCTGTCCACTGACCACTACCTGGTGGTGAGTCTGCTACGATGGTGGGGGAGGATGCCGGTCAGACCTGGCAGACCCAATCGTATTGTGAGGGTCTGCTGGGAACGTCTGGCAGAGTCTCCCGTGAGACGGAGCTTTAACTCCCACCTCAGGGAGAACTTGAAACACGTTCCGAGGGAGGTGGGGGACATTGAGTCAGAGTGGGCCATGTTCCGTGCCTCTATTGTCGAGCTGTGGCCACAAAGTTGTCGGTGCCTGTCACGGCGGTAACCCTCAAATCTGACCTGGAGATGATTATTCATGTTTTTATCTCTTCTTGCTTAGATTATTGTAATTCTCTTTTTACTTGTTTTAACAAATCTGCCGTTGCTCGTCTCCATTCGGTCCAGAACGCTGCTGCGAGGCTTTTAATAGGAATTAATAGAAGATCACATGTCACACCGGTTTTATCTTCTTTTCATTGGCTGCCTGTTGAATTTAGAATTAATTTAAAAATTTCAGTCATAACTTTTAGAGCTTTAAATGGACAGGCCCCCAATATATCACTGAAATGTTGATTCTTAAGGCTCCAGTATACTTGCGAGGACCTTTTTCAATGCGCATTGTCTGCAGAGGGTTGAGACTTCATACTCGAGTGTCCACCCTGAGCGGCTGCAGACCAGCTCTGCAGGCAAGGGGCGTTTACCTTCGGGACAAACTGAGTTTGCCGATTGGTCATTTGCTGACACGCCTACTAGACTGATTGACAGGTTGCAAAAAAAAAAGAGAGCTGGCAGCAAGCAGCAGCGGTGTTCTGTGTTTATATGTTGTTAATAAAAAGTTCCACAAAAAACAAGGAGCGCTGGCCCTGCAGCCCACACATCAGAACAGCCAACCAGGAAATCTCCAGACTGTCCTGCAGCCACGCTGGACCTGATTTTAAATATTTTGTGACAAATTCCTTCATGTCTCATCATTTCAGTTATGGCATCAACAGAGGAGGAACAGATTGCTTGCCTTTTGGCAAAAAAACAAAAAACAAAAGAAAAGACCATTAAACCAGACCAGGGATGAAGAAGCACTGGCTCTCAGCACTGGCTCTCCTCAGGGATGTGTGTTGAGCCCCCTCCTGTTCACTCTGTTCACGTATGATTGTGCAGCTACCCATCCAGGCTGTCACATTGTAAAGTTTGCAGATGATACAGCGGTGGTGAGATGCATCACAAACAATGATGAGTCCAGCTACAGGCAGGAGGTGGAACATCTGGAGAGCTGGTGCAAAGAGAATAACCTTCACATCAATGTGAAGAAGACAAAGGAGATGATTGTGGACTTCAGAAGAAATAAACACATCTACACCCCCTTGAAAATAAGAGGATCTGCGGTGGAAGTGGTCTCCAGCTACAAGTACTTGGGTGTGCACCTGAACAACAACCTCAGCTGGAGCAACAACACCACCAGCCTGATGAAGAAAGCTCATCAGAGACTCTACTTCCTCACGCGGCTGAGGCGAGCTGGTCTGGAAGCTCAGTCCTCACCTCCTTCTGCAGGTGTGCAGTGGAGAGCATCCTGTGCTCCAGCATCAATGTGTGGCATGGAGGCTGCACAGCTGCAGAAAGAAAAGCTTTGCAGAGAGTGGTGAAGGCTGCACAGAAGATGTTGGAGTCAGTCTCCCCACCATCACAGACATCTACACCTCCAGATGCAGGAAGAGGGCCACCTGCATCATGAAGGACCACACTCACCCAGCACACACACTTTTTGCCCCGCTCCCCTCAGGAAGGAGGTTGAGGAGCATTAAGTGTAGAACCACTAGACTGAGGAACAGCTTCTACCTTGAGGCTGTTAGACTCATGAATCTCTAACTAGAATAATCACTGCGAAAAACCATATCATGTTGCTGCTGATCTGTTTCATGTTGCTGCTGATGTATTTCATGTTGCTGCTGATCTGTTTCATGTTGCTGCTGATCAGTTTCATGTTGCTGCTGATCAGTTTCATGTTGCTGCTGATCTGTTTCATGTTGCTGCTGATCTATTTCATGTTGCTGTGTTCATTCATGCTCATCTGCTCACACAGACTCATGTTCGTGCTGCTGTTTGGCGTATTGTTTTTATACTGTTAGTGCTTAGTGTATATTTAGTTGATGTTTTTCTTAGTTCATATCTTAGATGTTATTACTGTTTTTCTTTTACATTTTATTGTTGGATGTAACTGGGACCCTGTGAACATAATTTCGTTCCATCTCATGTACTGCATGTGGTGCGAATGACAATAAAGAAACTCTGACTCTCTGTTTTTTTATCAGCTGTTGTTATTGTTCTGATTTTATTTTAAGCCTGTATTTTGTATTTCTGTAAAGCACGTTGTGATTTTATCTATGAAAAATGTTATATAAATAAAGTTTACTTACTTACTTGCAGGACTGCAGCATGTCATGATCTCCGCTCTGCAGCTGAGAAGTGGGCGTGGCCGAGAGCGGTGGCGGGGGGAGCTGAAATCATGACATTCTGTCTCCTTTTAGAGCGTTTAGCGTTTAGAAACACTCTTTAGAAGATTGCAAGAGTGTGGGAAAGGTTTATATATATATATATATATATATATATATATATATATATATATATATATATATATATATATATATACATACATATATAATAAAATACTACTTACTGCTTGTACTACTATTCTACTTCGCGGTTTTTCACTTAACCTGTGTGTGTGTGTGTGGGGGGGGGCTGAGAACGGAAACCCCCGTGATAAATGAGGGACTACTGTATGACTATTTGTCAATGAATTATTGTTTTACACAAGTC